TATATATATATATATAGTTTTCTAAAATATAAAAACGTTTAGGTAATATAGTACATGGTAATGAAAAAAGTTGAGACCAATTCATCATTTGGCATGCCTAAGTCAAAACAGAACTATGTTAAATAGCCAGAAACAGAATCATGAAAAGAATACACTTAAAGAAAGTCTGTATCACATGATAATAATGTGTAGGCAGACAACTGATTTCCCACCAGTTTTTTTCTCAGAAATTATAATATGGAACAAATTAATGCTTAAATCATTTCAATTTGTTTTTATGTAATGTGCTTATTGTCTTCATATATTTTAGTACTGAATTTCTAATAAATATATTGAAATGTTCTCATTGCCTTGGTATTACAGTTGATGCAGGAGGTAGCTTGTGACAGCCCTCACTGGCCTCCCAAGCAGTTCTGCCTTCTTAATCCCCTCACTTCGAATATGGATCTATCATAACTTTTGCAAGACAAGCCACCTTAATGGGGAGACCCACCTGGAAAAGAACTAAAAGAAGTCTTCAGTCAACAGAGAGCAATAAACTGAAGATCCAAGGCTAACGGTCCTTACATTGACTCTTGCTAATAACAGCATAAATATGAAATCGATCTTCCAAAATTGGGGCTTTCAGTTCTAAGTCCTTAATGTATTCCTTTTGACATGCCCTAAAGTCACGTCTCAGCTGCACCGTGCTTGTGCTCACAAAGATTGAGCCAACAAAATTATGTGAAAACACATGTGTATAGTATTAAGCAGCTAATTTTGTAGTATTCAGTTATGGAGTAATGTACTAGGACACAAAACCTGACATCCACAACTTAACAGACCCTTTAAATTTGCCTCACTATTTCAGGGAAGTCAGCCCATAGACAACTGGTTCCAAGACAGACACTTCAGGTGAGAAGGGCAGGGCAAGTGAACGATAACTTCCTTCTAGACGGCCAGGAAGCGGAGTGGGGGCCAGCTGCAGAGAGTTAGGGACAAGGGACCAGGTGTTGTACCCAAATTCACACCTCCAAGATCCAGCCAGACATTCCCATACCTATCCTTCACCACTCATTGGAGGCTTCTGAGGTGATCAAGTTGATATGGCTAAGCTTAATTTTCTCAGTTGGCAAATATTTTGTGTCATTGCTTAGAAGAATCTGGTCACCACCTCTTTGTCTACTTTTGCTACTAATGGAGGTTTTTCCTAGTTTTCTTTACTGTTCCTTATAATCTTTATTGTCATGTGGCAGAGAGTTATAAAAATGAGCTTATTAGCAGGGCCAAATTCATATGTTAATACAGCTCCAAGAGTTTCTACTTTGAAACTTTTATCTGTTCAAACTATTTAGGAGCATTTTACCATTTTTCTCTAATTTGATTTCATTTGCTATGGAAAACTCATTCGTCTCTTATACTTCAAAAAGGATTCTGCTTTATCATTTGATAGCATTTTATCCCTTAATTCCCTTGTGAGCTTTGATCCGAGAGGTTTCAGAAAATATATTTTGGAATATTTGTCTATTTTTCTTGTTAATTCAAGAGCAGTGCTATCTTATAGCTTTCTGGATTCTAGAAGAAATCAAATCCTCTGCTTTATTTGTACTTCATTGTGTGTACCCCAGAATCTGAATAAAATTAACAATCAATTAAATAAGTAGTACAAGGTAATAAGGTTTAGCTTAATAAAGGATTATAGATAATGGAAAATTTTAAAACGTTGATCAATTCTCCTCAAATGTCTTTTTTTTTTTTGTATGAGGGATCAAACACAGGTTCTAGCACTTGTGATGCAGGCGGCGGCACCACTGAGCTAAATATCCAGCCCTTCAAATTTGTGCTTTTAATCTCTTTTATAAAGAAATTTCATTTTAAAATGCAACAAGAAAACAAATTACAACCAAGAATAGAGCAGTAGTAAAATGAGACATTTACTTTTCTAAAACCATTTAGTAGAAAAGCTCTCTTTTCTCTGTCATATTCTTTAAAACCATCGCATTTATAGAAATAAATTGAATTTCATTTGTGGAATCTCTAAGCACTATATAATCCATAGGTTTTTTTGTTTTTGTTTTGCATTGAGTAAGCAAAACATTTTAAAGACATCTAAACAAATGGAGCTGATCTAGTTGTAAAATCAATGAGGGCAATTAGAAATTATTTGCAAATACTATTTGGACATCTGAAAGATATTTATTTACATCACTGTAAGAAAAAGTTTTGTTTCTCTCTGTAATGTTTTTCCTCCAGGTTAAAGATGAAAGTTGGAGTCCATTCATACAGTGTGCAAGTATATATTTTCTGCTTTTAAATGTGCAGCATGATTTTGTTGACATATCTCTATTATAAACTTTATTTATTTTTAGTGGAGGGTAAATGTGTTTTTTGAGTATCTGGAGATTAATATCATAATACCCTAGGTCAATCTGGCAGATTTTATAGATAACATAGTTAAATATCAGTGTAGAATATATAGCATATCAATTTCTAATACAAATTCAAATGAGAAAAAAATATAAAAATAACAAATATTTGAACAACTTTGGAGAGACTCAGTTTAGACATAGTTTATAAACACTATATGTACACATTCAGAGAGATTCATATTTTTGCCCAATTCAGCCAACTGCAATGTTCTCAAATATAGGATACTCAAATTCTTACTAAATAGAACTCGATCTTTTTTTACATTGAAAGAAAATGAGCTTGAATTGCCTTTCCTGAAATTAGATTCCATGGTTTCTGAGAACACTGGTGATATCAAAATCACTAGCCTGGACCTCTGTAACTTTCATCTTTATCAGAAAGAAGCTGGCTGCATAGAGTATAGGAAAATAATAGGAACATGAATAAAGGATATTGTCCTATTTTAAGTATTTCATAGCTATGGAGCTATTTCAGTTAATTCTTTCATTATGCATGTAATCTATTTCTACAACTAGTTAATGTTAGGTAACAGAGAAAAATGACTGTATACTGAATTTCACCATTTAAATGAAATATTCTATTGTATTTACTTCTTTTACATTCCAAGTTATTTTTCCTTTGTTATCCTTCCTTGGAATAAGGAAAAGTTTGTGATTCAATAAATGAATTATCAGGATTTAAAGGAATGTTATATATCTACTTAACAACTTTAACACTGATTTTATTTCCATAATTTTACTTTCTTAAATAAGAAACAACTATAATAGAAAACATTAACAGCAATAGCTAACACTTATTGATCAAAGTTTGTGTGAAGTAATTTATTTGAATCCTTTCGCAGCTATATTTAATCTTCCTTTTATGTATGAGGACACTGACTCTGAACTACAGTAATGCTAGGAATTGCAACGAGCGGGACTCACGACTAAGGAGTCAATTCTAGGGCTAACGCTCCTTTCTTCATGAACCTTATACAAGGATATAACTAAGTACTCCACAATGACACAATAGAGCTACGACTTCTACTAAGAGAGAAAGGTCATTTGAAAATGAGAAAGGGACCAAGTGATGGAGGGAGGATGAAAGAAAGAGAAAAGAAAGGAACTGCATTAAGGTGTTTTATAGACATGTAGTAATTCCATGTGATGGATGTAATCATCATGTAATGCAATCATGTACTACTGCAAATTTCAAAAGTGGAGAGTTTTAAAAATTTATACTGTACTGAATAGAAACTTTTACAAGTTATGGTTCAGTCTTTATAGCAATTAACTAATAGGAATAAAATATCTGTGCTATATTTTATTAAATATGTACATTGGTCCAAATCATCAAAGTCTAATCTTATATTTTCATTGAGCATATCATGCTTAACTGCTTTACTTTGAGAATGTAAAATTGTAGTTTACTTAAAACCTTTAGTTAGGAAAGCCAAATATTTTGAAATACCCAATTTATATTAGTAAATTCACTGAGACAGGATAACTAAATATGTTGAAAGAGATTAAGAAAAAAACAACTGAATACTTACCAATAGGCTTCTCCAATTCCTTATATGTGCTCCCCTGCTGAGAAATCTGATTCTACTTATATGATTGTTAAAATGTTAAATCATGGTCGTGGCCAGTACAAATTAGGTACTATTCCCCTATGTGCAGCTTCAACTTCTAGTTTGAATTTAATCCAATTCTCCTGTTAAATAAGTATTTGTTAGGACATTTTAATAAAACATTCAAGTACTTTGCATCTGAATATCATATAAATTTCAAATGAATTTTGTTATAAATTTGTCACTGGTGTGATACAATTTATTACACAGGCAGATTTTAACTCTGGGAATTTTGGACAGCATACACAAGTGCAATGTAAAGAGTAAAAAAATGCCTAATCATTTAAACAAATGTAAAAGAGAATTTATACACTCACAAGTTAATGTGATTTATGCAAATTGTAGCAAGGGACAACAGTATGAGATGTATCCTGACTACAACAATACTGCCATATAATGTAATTTTAATTTGCTTACCACAAATTTACAGTAATGAATCTTAGTCCATAAGGAAAGATTTGTATATCACGTCATGTTCCATTCTTCCAAACTCAGCCTCTGTTGCGTACAAAGAAATGCCTGTGCTTGAGTCTAAGTAATTTTTCACTACCTTAAAAACTATTCATTGCAACTTCTGGGAATTGAAAAATAATATTTTAGTGATTAAATTACTTTATATGAGCATTATTAACTTCTTTGGAAAATAAACAAAAAGTATAATTGAGGTGCTACAAAACAAATTCTAAATTTTTTGTGCGAGATTGTCAGTTTCCAAACTATCATCATTGGTTGAGTTTGCATTCATTTCATTAATTAGGATATATATGTTTTTCTTTTCGTTTGGTGCCTTCATTGTAATACACTTATAAAATCCTACCCTGACATAGGCAAATACCAAATAGTATCTCTGGTGTGAAAAACTAAAATGGTAGTCAAGATTCTAATGGGATACTTAGCAAATAGGAAGAAAAGGACCAAAGGTGTAGGGACAGTGAGAAGGATAGGGAAGGGGGAATAAGGGAAAAGGAAAAAAATATGAGAAAATGTAAAAATGGAATTAAAGTGTTTGAAGGTGGGTATATATATATTCTTAAAGAATACTAGTATATTCAAACAAACAAACAATCAACAACAAAAAATGAGCTGGGCACGGCAGGAGGATCACTGTGAGTTCGAGACCAGCCTGGGCTGTCTAATGAGTTCCAGGTCAGTCTCAAACTACATAGTGAGACCCTGCTTCAAAAAAAAAAAATACTGGTATATTGCTATGAAATTTTACATACAAATTTAAGCTATTATATTCTAGGATTCAAACAAACAAACAATCAACAACAAAAAATGAGCTGGGCACGGCAGGAGGATCACTGTGAGTTCGAGACCAGCCTGGGCTGTCTAATGAGTTCCAGGTCAGTCTCAAACTACATAGTGAGACCCTGCTTCAAAAAAAAAAAATACTGGTATATTGCTATGAAATTTTACATACAAATTTAAGCTATTATATTCTAGGCATCATAGTTAATACCAATAGTGAAAGGATATGGAGTTACTCCCAAGATTTCTGACTTCCTCAAAGATTTATTATATCAATAGTATACTCACCTCCATAATGCTGGAGTGTACACCATCAAGTACAGGCTTTATGATACTGTATCCATTTTTACCATCTCCTCATAATGTTTGCTAAAAGAATATTTTTCTGCCCTTTATTGATTCCATTGCATCTACATTATTGAAATCCTAGTACCAAAGAATACATATAAAAGGCAACTCATATATCATTATGGACATTTCTTTCTTCTTGACAGATCAAGTGTGATGTCTTTCTGTATTTGAAAAATTAAACCCCATTGCATTAAATCAAATACTTTGGAAGTACAGGGACATACAAAATGAAACCAATGATTTCAAGGAAGAGGAAAAGTAATCTTATATCTTTAAAAGCAGTGATGCAGAGTAATTTTTGATTTGAAAATACTTGCATTCTCCATGCATGTTATACTGTGTTTTATTCAAGAACTATTTAAAATATTTATAACTTGCTTAAAATATACACAGCATGTCAGAGACCAGATAAATCCAATGTAAAATGAGCAGAGTGAGCTATGCATAACCTCATAGGACAAATTACATGAATACATGTGCAGAAAGATTTACATTTTTGGTCCACTAAAATTGAAAGTTTTCAGTGTATACCTCTATTTGTATTACTACCTGGTATTAAGAGAGCAACAATTTGCCTGGCTTTGTGGCTGTTGGCATTACTTTACATTGCACGAAATGGAGGCACTGTCATATAAAACAGATCAGTTCCAGTGCACAGTTGGGCATAGCATGATGCTTCATTTTTAAAGCATCCACGAGCAAACTTTCTCTCCTTTTTTTCTTTTAGATTCAATAGTTAATAAATTACTTCACTGAAGTTTGTATATTGGCAACCACTTCTTGAATGTAGTCCACAAACTATGTTTCTTCACAATCCTGCAGGAGCCACTTTTGTCCCAGAGACTCCAAGGGTGACCTTATCGCATCCTTTCCTGCTCTTGGTTTTTGGTCATTGTCTGGTCTTGTTTTCTTCAAGTTGCAAGGTGTAGTCTGTTACTTTGAAATAGTATCCACACATGGTTAATATAATGAACCAATATAACACAAAACAATAACTTGTTAAAGCATTAAACCATCACATTTTTATTTCCCTGGGGAAACATTCGTAGGTATACAATGGTACTTTGATAACATCTCACTTTTGTCCTACAAGCTATGCCTCTCCTCCGTGGGGTTCCTCAGAAATGGGGAAATTATGTTTTATTAGGAAATGGGCCAAATGTCCATACTCATATGGATGGCGTTAATGGTTCTGACCAGTTTCAAGCAAGGCTTCCCCTTTTCCCATGGCCTCCCTTCAGTGTATTACAATATTCTCAGTAGCTGTGCGGTTTAAGGAAAATAAAATGTTCTAATGACCAAAGTCTATTATATTTTTCTTAAAATGAAGTGGCAACAAAACAGAGAGGTCCTGGCTTTTCTCCGTGAGCCAGTTCTGCCTTAATTAAGTTTGAGTGGAGGAAGGGCATTTAGATTAAGAAAGGCTGTATGAAATCCTGCCTCATAATACATAATTACCTACCTTTCTAGTCACACAACATACTTAATGTTCCTGAGCTTCAAGTTTCTCGATTCAAATTTCTCCCCATTGTAGGCAAAAGAGGAGTGGTTGAACAAGGCAAATGAGTCATAAAATTATGGACAAGCCCTTCCCTCTCATGTACTCTGACTTCAATGTCAATATTTCAACTGTCAAGCAGAATAAAATATGATGTATATAATGATCAAATAGGAATTTTATATAATACCTGTTACACATACTTTTCATATAACAGATTAAAAGTAAACCATGTCCCAAGAAAAAGAAACTGGATGAGGCTACAATGGAAAACAATCAACATCTTTGATTTGCCAAAGCAAAATTTTAATAAAGAGACTACTTTCAGATAAATTGCTTATATCTTTTATAAAATTTGAAAGTCTTTGAGTCACGAAGGTATATGTTGCAAGGGAAAAAAGAAAATCCCTTTACAATCTATGAAGGACAGATTGGCTTCCTCTCCTCCCTACCTGGGGTACCCCACAAAATATTAAACTACAGACTGTTAACAAGAGCCCAGAGAAAAGAATGAAGGTTTACACCATCTCTTTACAAAATGATAGTGAAACTCTCACCTCACTTCTTGCAAACAAAATCCATGATCGTTTGGGAGGCTACAAAACAATGAGAACATATAGCTGATTAAGTGCCTATTTACATACAGAATCTTACTTTCTCAGGCTATTCCATGGTGATAGGAAAACTGAGGAACAACCAGCATCCTCCTTGACAAATGTTTAGGGAAAAATGAAGGGTGGTAGAAAGAGGTAAAGGAAAAAGCATTACTGAAATAGGACTGACTCTCTACCTTCATATCCTGAAGAGAAACAGTTCAGGCAATAGGCTCATCAGCCACCATTTCAAACTGCCCCACATGTCTTATTAATCATGTGATGAAATCTCCTAGTAGTAAAAAATGTAAATTGTCGTAATTACTATTGGCATGTCTGGATTTTACTTTAGGATTGAACTTGTTTAATTCTTTTGGGAATTAAAAAAATTTTTCATAAAACATGAATTGCATCTCTGTTGGCTGGAAAAAAAAACAATTCAACTACTTTTTTTTCTGCTATCTGTGCCCCCTTTGTCACAAAAAAGGTAATTTTTATTCTTAATATTTCATATCATATTAATATTTAAATATTTACCAGTATTAAAATAATTTTATAAATGTAAAATATATAAATATAGTTCCTTAAAGTAGGTTTTACATTCCTTTAAAGATACACTCAGTCAATCCTTATCTTCTATACATTTATATTATGCAGTACAATGTTTACAAATTCAATAGTTGAGTACAAGCAGACAAGATCAAGTCACTTACTTGTATTTCTGATATATTTGGATAAAGTCTATGTAATTCTGTGTTTTCTTTCATAACATTTTTCTTTGTATTTTTGTATTGCCTTACCTTCTTCTTGATGAACATTTCCTCTAATTTTCTTTTCACACATTTCATATTTTAGTTTTCACTTTTTCTTCATAAATTACTAATGTGCATATTTAGCTATAATACAATTTAATTAATGTACTTGCCATCTGGCTGATGTAAGGATCATGAAATAATTTTTCTCAGATCTTTCTCTTTGGTTTTAAATATTTTTGTATTGTATATTGCCTGTAACCTGGCATTTTTTGACCCTCTGAAATTAGTTTTCAGTAAATGACTAGTGAATTAGCTGAATTTGTGAATTCTTTTGTCCTGTAATTTCTTTTTAATGAAATTTAGCCCTTAGTAATTATTTTTGACTTTAGGAAAGCTTTGTGTGATCTTCATACTGTTTTCTGTTCATTGAGATGGATAGAAAATTTAGAAAGTTTTCATAGCTAGATTTTTATCCAGCTATACAACCACATTAATTACTTTCCTTCGGAAATCCAGTCTTGGTGAAAGAAACTATCTGCCAATTTATGAAAGTCCCCTTGCTTTTCACTAATGCTTTGTCTATTGCTATGATGGATAGGAATTTTTTAATGATGGAAGCTTAATGTTCACACAATGTAATGATTCAGTGCTCAGTAAAAACTTTGAAACTATTTGATATTATTTCTTGAGATATTGCATATATTTTCTATTTTTCATCTAGAGTATCTCATAATGTTTGGATTTTTAACATCTCTTCCATATTAACCCTCTTTTAAATTTTTCGTGCATTGTGAGATATGATAAAAAGTTGGAAAATGCTACTGTTGAGTGCCATCCAACAGAAAGGAAGGCTCATGAAAACTGTAGTGTGTTCTAACCCACTTTGTTCACTGAAATTAATACTCCGCAGCTTCTGGCTCTTTCCCAACATCAGTGATCATGAAAAGTAAAAGTTTTGTACCAATTCAGGACATTGAGGCACCAGCAACAAAGCAACTAAAGACATTCACGAAAGAGGACTTCAAGAATGCTTCTAAATGTCCAAGAGTAACGGGATAAATGTGCTTGAAATGAGAGGTGGTTTGTTGAGGAACATCAATGTGTTTTTCTGTAATGCATTTTTTAGAATATGTAGATATTCACCATATTATTATACAATAATTATTATATAGGTAATTGGCTGAGCTCTATTGTATAATTTTGTATATTTTAAAAACTAGTGTTCATTTTAATTACCATATATTAATTTTAGAACTTGAATTAGTTCTTTTCCATTATTTCCTTCTATTGCCTAATTAATGAGTGGCATCTAATGATTCTGTACTAAGTATTGTTTTATATATCTTTATATATTTCATCAATTTTTATGCTCTTTCTTGATCCGCGTTAGGTTGTCTGGTACATTTATTCCCTAAAAGTGCTAATTTTCCTGTTCATGGCAACTGATTACCCCCAATAATTGCTCCTATATGTGGTGGGATTTTTGTTTTTTAATAATTTCATGCTGTTGTTGTTTTTGTTTATTTTATTTTCCTTTTGTAGAGAGTGTTTGTTTGTTTCTCTGTACCGGGGATCAAACTCAGGACCTTGTGCTTGCAAGGCAGGACTGGTGCCCCTGAGCTAAATCCTAAGCCCATATGCATTTGATTCACAAATATTTCAGTCCAGCGCATTTGCCCTTTTAGTTCTTTGTATATTCTTGATATTAATCCTCTGTCAGGAAGACTAGCTAGTAGGGTTTTCCCATTCTTCACTCAGGTGATTGTAAGTGCCATACAGAACTTTTTAATTGGAGGTAATCCCATTTGTCAGATCTTATTTTCTGAGCTGTTCAGGAAAGTCCTGTTCAGGAAATCATTGCCTATCCTAGTGCTGTATATTAAAGTGTTTCCTCTGTTTTCCTCTAATGACATCAAGTTTCAGGTCATGCGTTGAGATTTGATCCCTTTTGGCTCGATTAAAGTACAAGTAAGGGATAAATATGTAGCTCCTATCAGAACAGGTGAATGTTCATTTTTCCAAGAAACTTTTGTTGAAGAGCCCTTATTGTCTACAATGTATTTTTGGCTATTTGATTTGAATCAGGTGGCTGTTAATATGTAGGTTTATTTCTTGTCCTCTATTCCATTTTCCTGTGCATATATTTTTATACTACTATCCCTCTGCTTTTGTTAAAATGGCTCTGTAGAATTTTTCAACTTAGGAATTTTGGTGCATCTAGCATTGTTTATAGTTGTTTAGTTGTTGTTGTTGTTGTTTTTTAATTGCTCAGGATCTCTTTCTCCACTTAAGTCTTCTCATGCTTCCAAATGAACCTTAGGATTTTTTTCCTATTTCTATAAAGTAGACTATTGATATTTTGATGGCAATTCATAGTGTGATGGCAATTTTAATTGCATCTGTGCATCACTTTGGGTAGTATTTTAATGTTCATCCTGTCAATTCATGAATATAAGAAGACATCCACTCTACTATCTTCCTCAATTTAATTTTTTTCTTAAATGTTTTCTGTTTTTTCATTTTCTCATACTTTTTTCTTTGTAAATGGGGAGGGGAAGGGGGTGAACGGAGGGCAGGGACAAGGAGAAAAATGAGAATCAAGACCTGTCATATGAAGGTATAAGATACCAGTAACGAATGTAACTGTATACCTAAAATGTACCAGTAAACTCCATAAAAAGGAATGAAATAAAATAGAATAAAATGTTTTCTAGCTTTCTATTTCCGAGGTCTTTCACTTCTTTGAGTAAAGCATATTAGTTTCAATATTTAAAAAGACTATGTGAAACATGCTCACCATTTTAGCCATCAGATAAAGGTAAATGAAAACTACATTAAAATTCCATCTCACTTCATTCAAAATAGCTATTATTAAGAAAACCAAAAGCAACAGATATTGGTGAGGATACCAGGGAAAGTAACCTTTTATACACTGTTGGTTTAGCTGTATTTTAGCATAGGTACTGTAGAAAGCAGTATGGGACTTCCTGAGAAAACTAAAAATATAAGAAACATAGGGTCTAGCCATGTGATCCTGGGTAAATACCCAAAAGAATCAAAGTCAGCATTTTACAGATATAGTAGCCCATGTAGATCATACCACTACTTACCACTGCCTACTTGTGAAATCAGCCTTGGTGCCAAAGAGTGGGTGAATGCATGAAGAAAATGTGGTATACAGTATGTAAACAATAGAGTGTTATGCAGCCATAAAAAACAATGTCTATAGGAAAACAGATGGTGCTATCCTCATTTAAAAGAGTCACAGATAAATAAATATTGCATGTATTGTTTCATTATGGAATCCAGGGTAGGAAGGAGCACGAAGTACAGGGGGAAGTGTAAGGTCAGAGGACTGGATAGAGAAGGTAAGGAAGGCAGTAGGCATCTGGATGCTATCAAAGTACATTCTATGCATGGATGGATTTTTCACAGTGAAACCTGTTATTTCTTACAATTAAAATACATTAATAATTACAATAAATGAGAAATCGATCTAGATTTTCAATATGTAAATATATACATATATCTACAAAATATCTTAAGTGTTTTAGATAACTGTTTCTAAAAGAAAAAGAAGCATCCTTTTAAAAACAACAGCTCTGATTTACCTGGATCTAAGATTACAGCTAAATTTGGACACATTGCATATTACTCTTTCATTGTGCTATCAGCTCCCGCTCCGCAGTAGAAACTCAACTCCACGCTTCACATCTGTGAGTGATTATGACCTCATTTCCTGTCTCTCAAGATCAACACTCTTGCTGGAGCTTCAAGTATGATTGAGTATGTTCAGTTTTCTGAAATTTTGCCCTAACTCTGGTCCTAAACGCCTGCTTCTGTTCGACTTAATGGTCCATTTTCTCTTCCGGGTAGCAATTCAAACCCTAGTTTTCACATTCCTAATCATATCTCCATAGATCATAAGGGATTCATAGCTACATATAGTCCTGATTTGGTCCCCTTACAGTTTATAATATGAAAGAGTATCCTTTTCCTTTGAAAATGCTATTTTACATTAATTTGTACATCATTTAAAGTAATTTTCTTTATTACACCAACATTTTTGCTAATTTGACTCCTAACTAATTATAAAAATGCACTGATTGCTCTGTATTTTAAAGCAATTGTTTAAAAATGGTGGACTGACATTTCTTTCATTGACCAGATACCTGCCAACGTGCTATATTGACTGGACCATCCTCTAGGCTCACTTATTTATATCTGGAAAAAACAAATATCGTGGAAAAATAATGCGCACAGATGGGGAAGCCATACAGTAGTCACCATTACACTCATTTAAAATGCCAAGGATGTAGAAATCTCTCATCAGTCAACTCAACTCTATGAAGTAAGCCCTCTTTGAAATCACTTAAGATTCACCATTGATGCTCATAGTGGAATTGAAGAATTGAAGAGGACCTGACAAATTATGTTTGTTACGACAAGACATTGCATAGAGGCTCTTTTGAACAAGCACCCCCACGGTACTTGTCAGTGTGATGAAGAACTTTTTGTTTCCGGTCTCACTGAAAGCCCAATTTGTCTTAACCAAAGGAGAAGCATCAGAAGTGGACATTTGCACGTGTAAAATGGAGTTGATGCTCGAAAAACTTATTTGTTTCTCTCTTTCTCCTTTCCACATGCGTGTGACTGAATGGAAACAGAAAACAGAGAAAGAGAAGGAGTTAGAGGCTGAGCAAGAAAATATATTCTATCTCTCCAAGTTCTTTCTATGGAAGCCTAATAAATATTCACGGGAAGAAGAAAAGTCAGTTTTAATTGAACATGGAATCAAATATTTAATTTGGCTCAGCTTCTTGCATGATTGAACACAAACATAAATTAATGCCAGCTACCCACAGTGACGTGAAGGAAAGAGACAGGAACAGTAGGTGAAGTGTGGTAGAAGGGGAAGAGTACAAAAAATTAAAGTCAATTCATTTTGATGAACTGTGCAATTAAATAGTTCTATATGCTGTAGCCCTGGGAGTGAGGCCTAGCTTTTTTGTCAGACCAGTCTCCCTTATTGATGACAGATCATTTATTTCACAAATGAAATCGTCTTCAGCATGATGAGAAGCATTTACCGATCGTTCTAGTCAAAATGTTGATTTATGTTAAGAATATTTCCTAAGAATGACTCTAGTTTCTCAAACTTATGTGAAGTTTAAAAATATGTTAAAACTTATAAAGACAGCAAATGCATGGTGAAGCATTCATTGCTGGGAATATGGCTGTGTTCTTAAGTTATTAAAAAAAGCAACTAGAGAGATGTAGTCACTGGCCAGTTGGGTATGTGCTTACATTTGTACAAAAATTGAATAGATTGTTTTCTACCCATACTTGTTCTCTTTGAGTAAAGAAGCAAGAAATTCAAATAAGCACAGTGACTATAAGGTGGCCTCGTGAGAGTAAAGTGACTTCTTTTACGGTCACAAATCTTCTAATGAGCAAAATAGACAGCAGCAAAAGCTTCTATGACTTTCTTCAAGTAATCAATGAAGCCCTTCATACACAGATAGAATGGCTACTGGCACTGACAGTTGGAAATTGTGAACAATATAACTCAAGTATGGAGATTTGCTTTCTCAGTAGTTTGTCTATGATGTTTCTGAAGTGATAATACAAGGATTGTCACTTAAATGGTATTTGTCATTATTATATTTCTCAACACATATCACTAATTTTATTAAGCACTTACTGTTTACACTAATTGTAATTCTTACTGGTCTGTCTAGGCTACAAGTCCTAAATATTCACAGTTTACTCTTACATTTGTTTCTTTAATAAATTTTATCTAAACTGTATTTTAAAAACTGATTCAATAGCTACTTCTTTGTTTTATAACCTTTGTTATTTGTTATGCTCTGCCATAGTAAGACCTATACTTAATTGTTACCCTATAATCATTGGAGTATAAATAACTTCACCCTGAATTAGATGTAACTTTATATTTACCTTATTGACTCCATATTTTTCTCACATGTTTTCCTTTTTGTTTAAATGATAAGTGGATGGCATTTTTGTAGAAAGAAAATTTGAAGAAATTTTACAAAATTTCTGATTAATGTAGCCTAACACAAAGGCGAATTAAACTTTTGTAATCCATTATCAAATAATCCTTCCCATTCTCCTGGATACTTCTCTGTCCTTCATTACTCATTAATTTCCAGGGACTCAAGAACACTCTTCCATGATCTTCATTTCAGCATTTCAATAGAATAATCTCATTATTTTTTAAAAGAAGGCTGATTTTTTCTCGAAAATGGAGAATTACTTTCTCATAATATGATACATCTGAAGGCAAAGACTTTTAAATCCAGCTAAGATACTGAGGAAACTGATTTTAATAATATTCCAATCTGTGTAGAAATTTTATATTTACAATAGCATTTCCCTTACGGTCATTTCACTGCTTCAATGTGGACTTTAAGGGTATGGTATTTAAGGTATATTTCCCTAAGGAATACTTGATCATGTAGAACACATGCCTAGGACTCTGCATTTCTGTTTGTTTGGGTGTTGGATTGGTTCACCATGCATTGGGTATGGACTTATTAGGGAAAATAGCCAAACAGAGAAATTACATGGAGAAAGTTTGCTACTTCCAGATGCACAGCAAGGAATGATAGAAGTCTGATTCATTATGGATCAGTTTCTCTTAATTTTCTCAAGTTTTTCAAGCTTCCCCCGGTTGAGTTCCTTACTGATAGTGCCTCATTTCCCCTGCAGTGGAGATATGCTGAACATAGTATATTAGTCATCTTTACAAAACTATACCAAATACATGTAATATTTGACTAATAAAAATACAGGGTTTGCTTTGGCTCACAGTTTGGTGACTCCAGTGCATTAATGATTGGCCCCATTGCTTTGGGCTCATTGCAAAGTAGCCCATTTTGACAAGAGAATGTGGTAAAGAAAATTGCCCATCTTAACATCCCATAAAGAAAAGGAAAGAGAGAGAGAGAGAGAGAGACAGAGAGAGAGAGAGAGAGAGAGGAGTGTCCTTATGTCTTATATGGGCACCATAATCCCCATTCCAGGGCATGTCACCAATGTTTTAAGGCCTTCCAGGTGGTTCCCACCTCCTAAATGTTCCACCGCCTCCAAATAGAGCCTCCCTGTGTTCAAACCTTTAGCAAATGGGCCTTTGTGAGACAACCCCAATCTCAAAAATTTCACAACTCATCTCAGCAAATATGTCTCTGGCATTAGCATATACCATGGGATATTTGCCCAAAAGATGCCCTATGTTTAGGGTAGAAAAGAACAGAATATGACCTAGTCCATTCTTACCCTAAGATGTTGCATTAAAACACCTTCTGTGGTCATTGTCCAATAGTTGTAAGCAGGACAGTGAGGAGAACCAAATTTCTGCAAAGCCATCACTGTGCCTATTCAAGGCCACTTGTTCATTTCAGTTTGATTAGAAGATTCTGCACACCCAAACCCAACCATTTAATCGACAATCCGAGCCAGAAAAGTTTCCAGTACTTGGGTATATACATTTAGAAAAGTTCTGCTAAAAGATAAACATATTATTCAGATGGAAATTGAGGCCATCAAAGTACCTTTATCAATAGCATATTATTAGTTTGATGTACAGGTGCAACAGCAGAAATATATTCTTCACTTTTGCATAAAGAGTTGCACATTGACACATAATGCTAGGATTAAAAGGAACTCGAGCTAAGGAAATGGGATGGTAAGTTTGTGAGGCATCTATATTTTACCAGAGTCACAGGTTGTGTGATCCGGTTTTCTTGCTTCATGAGGCACCTCTGTGTAAGCCATTAGGTCTGTTATCTGAGGCCACGAGGCTTAGAAGTCTGAATTTCATTTATCTATTTTTCATTGTCTCTTTTTCTGTCTCCATCTCTCTTTATTTTCTCTCTTCTACCCTTTTCACACACATACATACACAAACACACACAACAGAGTGCAGAGGGCAGTTAAAGCTCAATGGCTAGCAAGCGTTTTATATAAGGTTATAGAGAATGGTGAGCTGTGCTAGCAGCAGCTTGAATGGCATTGATTGAAGGCAATGACTTATTCATCCTTAGAGGGAGGAAGCTGACTTGTGACCACCTTTATTAAAAGCAGCAAGTTTACAAGAAACTTTTACAGAAAGAGTCAAGATAATAATTTTTTAGATTTTATTGTTCTATTTCTCATTTCCCGTGGGTACTTTCCATTGGCTAATCTCTCTCTCAGAAGCCATAGTGCAACAAATCTCTGTGACATAGGCCATATAGTCACAAAATAGGTAGAGAATCTCAAAGGCAGCTCTAGAGGGGAAAATAAAAGATATGTGGTAAATACAAACCATTTCAAATAAATCAGTAAATATTACATCATTCAGGTAATATTCAACTAATTCAAGATAAAATTGGAATAGATTTAGTTTTCATCATAAATATACAATATACATGGGCATAGGAAAATATGCATTACTGAGTAAGAGTATCTAAAGTATACATTCAGTGATGAGCTGATCAGTTCACATAGTAGAGGAAAACAATGCTACAAAAAAAAAATTACCCTTTCATTTCCAGTCCAAATGAATTAGGCAATCAAAAGTAAAACACCTTAACTAGTTTCTTATTTATACTATGTGAAATATTTCAATAGCATGTTAAGATTAATTATACTGGAAAAAAAATTTTCTTAAACAAAATACTTTTATTCATTCTCCCATCA